CAACCTTATGGCATTTACAGTACTCGTGTGGCTACAGGAGGCGTGATGATTTAGCGGCGCCACAAGCCACCCAGGGCAGACCGTCGCTTGTTTCAGATTGAAATTAAGCTCTCCACACTGCGCACGGCTTAATGAGGTCCTACCCGGGGTCGCTGAGCGATTAGTGGAAGAATCACCCAGGAACACCAAGCAAGCTTCCAGGTCTGAATGCCATATTTGCAATTACATGCCGTTGAAGAGCAATCAGCTAAGGTGATTGCGTCGCCCAGTAGGCAAGAGCGTCGCCATCTCAATTTCGGTGTGCCCACATGTCCCCTTCCAGGTGTAGGTTGCCAATAATAAAGAACTCGCTCGGTCCTTTGTGAGCTTTGAGCACCGAGCACAACTTGCAAGGCGGCGAGATGGCCAGCGCTCATCAGTGCCCCAGTGGACACAACTTACCTACCCATTGATTTGCCACCTTGCCTAAAACTGCAAGGGCCGGCTGGCTGCCCCGGTTGATATCATTGGCTATCTGGGATGCTCTGGAGGCAGTTGGGTCACTATCTCTGGCCCATCTATCTCATGAACAACCATGTTAGTAGCTAAACAGATTACAGTAATTGGCAATCTCCTAGACCGCCACCGCCGCGATGCTGCTTAACAACTGGCTCCACGAACGGCCTCACGCAGATAGACCGCCAACGAAGACAGTTTCTCTGGCATGAACCCCATGACTTCACCGCTCAAAGAGCTGGATCTATTGGTGCCCAATGGCACAACACATCACACCGAACAATGTTTCCAAATCTTAACAAACATGGAGCACTGGGCAGCCAGACGTCGCGTGAGCTGCTGATCGTACATGGTATTTTGCCTCAAGAGCCATCTATCGAAACTGGATATCTCTCGCGACGTTGCAGTCGGTAGTTCGCACGCAATTTTGCATTGCATCCCCGCCCTGGCTTAACGTCCTAGGCGGCATGCATCTACCTGGGTCCCCTTAAGCCAGCGAGGTAGGGTCCTTTTCGTCACCCCTTCACAGGCACTCTCGCTAGGAACTCACCTTCGACCCTTTCCAGCCTGGCCATGATCGTCTGTAGTGCTCGCCTCCCCTGGCCCCACGGTGTGACCCAAAAGCCCAATCCCTCGGGGATAGAATCTCTGGACCCGACCAGTCTGATGGGGCTACTGCATACTATGTAGCGAATAGGAGGTTTGACGATAATATTGAGCAATATACCGACCATCATCCCGGGATCGGAGGCCTGTCTGTCTCGGAGAACAAGCAATTCCGGGGGCGGAGGGCGACCGTCGGGAAGCTGTCTTGGCCATTCTTGGCAGTAAAGCCGTAGCCCAAAATTATTTCCCCATGTAGACCCTGCACTTTGTTTACCCTGCTGCTCTGGCAGGGAAGACGTGTTGCCTGGCAAGTCTTTTCATTTCATTCTAGGGTTTTCGCCATAATGGTATCAGCGGCTGAGATTGAGAGTTGAGGGAGTCTATTCTTCCCGGCAGGGAGGAAAAGACCTGGCTGCTTCGGCATGAGCCCAACCTGCAGCTCCTGGTTGTCAAACTCGGGTTTTCGTTGGGAAATTCGTTGCGCTTACTATACGGTGTTACACTGACTCTTGAGAGCTGCAGCCACAGGATACGGCCCGAATGTCAGTTCCGACCGGAGAATACACATTGGCTTGAAACTGGATAGCTCGATCTCAAAGATCTGAGGGATGAATGGTCTCGTACCCTAGATTTAGTGGCTCTTCGTACTTTTTCCGAATAAACGTCAGAGCATCACCGGCTCTTCATGTTCGAGCCAAGAGAGGACCTTTGGCCGTGAGTTCTTTAGGAAGAGTTCAAAGGAACGGATGAATAATTTGTGTCGTCGCTTTACTCTGCCTAACCTTGCAAGCCCGGGTGGGTAGGTTGACAACATCAATACTGAGCCAGCGAGGTTCACTCATGTAGCCTTGATCAGTGTCACGAGCTAAATTTTGCCTGGCTATATCTGCCAGAGGTAGTTCTCGTGTTATTTATGACCGCTGCGAATCACAGTCTTGCACTTGAGCCGTCGTAATGGCGAGTTGCTGAGTCGCTCTTGGGCGATTTTGATACATGTACCCTAGACTGACCAATTTGCTTAGATGAGTGTCGAGATTATATAGTTCAACAAGAGCGTTTCAATTGATAATGAATTCAGAATTTGTTTCATTCATGAATAACTTGTTAAGATTATTGATATCGAAAATTAAATAATAATGGCTGTAAATAAAAGCCGTACAACGCATTGATTCCTAGCTCGTTCTCCAAGAACCCCGGAAGAGATGTTTTACAAGCGCCTGTGAAGGAATAGTCCCGTCATTCGTACTTTTTGAATGCTGCTGCCCCATCCCGAACCCATCAATATTGAGAACCAAGACATCCCCGATCAGCTTTGGCCCCGGCATGAACGATAAATCCTTGGTATCCTCCAACGAGGGGTCGAGCTGCTGCAAGTATTCGAAGACAACGTCCGTCCAAGCCGCCGGGCCTGTGGAGTTCATCACCTCAAAGCTAGTGGGTGAGATACTGTCAAGAGGCGAATCGTACACCTCCGTCGATAGCAGATCGATGGAATACAGAGCACGCTGGACCATCATCTGGAAAACAGGGTGTTTGGGTTTTGCAGCAATTGTCCATTGGCAGAACTGAAGCCAGTGAGGGATCTCGGCCCAAGCTGGACCGTCCCGCCTATCGAATTCGATCCCAACTACCAAGTTTACCTCACTCTTGATGAAGTCGGGAACCCATTCGTCGACACCCTTGATGGCGATCGTGTCGGTATCTGTATATACACCTCCCTCGACGTATAAGAGGAGGTAGCGTAGGAGGTCCGACTTCATCCCCATGTTCTGGAGACGCTTGTAAGTCTCGATGATGGCTGGTTGGTCGGCGAAGTTCTTGTCAACAAAATCTATCCCCCCCTGCTCGCCCACAAGCGTGCTATTTTAGAGTTCGAGCGTTAGCCAAACGAAGCTCATTGTCCATATGGCAACAAGGAAAGGAAGAAGGTAGAAGCCGAGAAGTAACGGCAGATATTCGTCATATTCGGAAACCAGTCCGCAATGGGGGAAATGATTGTGTGATAGAACCAAAGGTCTTGTAAATCGGGATAACATACTACTTGTAATCGGGATTCAAGATGAGCCAGGATGGAGTATCTTGAAGCTGTGCCGGGTCGGATGAATGAGGCGGACCCTCATTGTGCGGCTTGGGTAGCATGATTTGCCAGATCTTCATAGGTATACCGACAGGTTTGTGTAAACCGGCAGCGGATCCATTATGCCGCCCACCTCCGGGCCCAAATACCTGAGTGCTCAACCCGTTGTTCAGCAGAGTGACGAAGCTTTCTGTGGCGATGGCATGATACGCCCAAAAGATCGATGCCAACACGAGTAAAAGGACAAATGACGCGGTCCGGTAAGGCCGCTTGACGAGCGAACATATAATTCGAGAAGGCAGAGATTTCTCTAATTCGTGGAATAGCGGCAACATCTTGAATGAGGCCACTGTGGAGATCCGCGATGAGTGCAGGTCAACGTGGCAAAGCAGACGAGGGGAGGGGAGATTCTTTAGCGGACGACATGCCGGCCGCAAAACACAAGTTACGCTTTAATACTTTGAAACTCAGGGTTGGAGTGAAGGGTGACCCCTTCACTTGGGATCGAGAGTACCAGCCAATGACAATCACATGTGAGAGACAATGACTTAGATTCATTCCAATTGGTTCCCTACAACTCATTCTTCGCAGTGTAGGTTCAAAATTGACGAGAAGCTGATGCATTTCTTTGCATGAAAGCGTGGAAAAAGATTCCGAGAGTTCTGTAGTTATTTCAAGTTTATTGTGTGATGCTGACTTCGCCTCTGCTTTGCAAGGCAGAGCCTAGAACTGCCTGGTTATCAATGCAGCACATTATGGATTGACTGTTGGATAGGTACCGTAGGTATTTAAGTAATTAATATTGAATGTGTTTTACACAATCGAATTCCTGTCACTGCATTGAGTGAGAGGACAAAACTTGGTAATGAGTTGGAGCAGTAGTTTGACTCGTCTTTTACGTGAAGAACCCTGCACGAATTGATGCTGCATAACCTACCAGAAACAGGGAAACTACACCCCATAAGTTGAGAGCCGAATGGGTAAGCACATCACGGCCAATATCATTGCAGCTGGGTGCAACATTTCTCCACAAGCAAGCCGACAATCAGGGCAGCCACTGGTGGACCGTGGTCACCATCTGTATCGGCGCGGTTGAGGGGCATTGTACGACCTAGAAGCAGATCCCCCGTACCCGACGGATCATACTACCGCCGGGACACGATGGGACTTGAAAGAAACATCCTGTACGTACAGCGAAGGCGGGTCAGTAGAGAAGACGGTGAGACCACACCACGGAGGAAGCACGCGAGTGGGGCCTGGCTCTAGCCACAGCCAACGAGTTGCAGCCACGCCTGTCGGGCCTGTGGCTTAGCTCCAGACAGCTGGGCAGGGGTTCTCGCCGTCACCCCGCAACCAGCGGATCAGCAGAGCTTGTGCGAACGAGCTGTTGAGCGCCGTTCCAGACCCCATCTGCCAGCAAGCACTGTTGACTGATGCCCATATTTCTTTTTTGGCACTGTCATTCTGCTGCATCTTTCATCCCATCTACCTTTTTGTCTTCCCTATCATCATTGCTGGCGAATGGTGGTCGGTAATCCAAGAAGGCGAATCTTCAGCATGGTCAAGGCGCCGCAACCACTTTAGCTCACCCCGCCAACCAGCAAATATTTGGACCCCGTTGCCGTTCCCACCAGCATCCGCCCGGCTCTGCTCAAGACTCAGATAGTCTCCATTCTAACCTCTAACTGCGACATCGAAATTCCTCGCTACATCCCGAGTCCATTGTTCACCACCATCCACCACTAGTTGGCGAACTGCTTTAGATCCCACCAACGAGGATCCCTTCTGGCTTGACCTCGAGTTCGTCATAGTCGCCGCCGTCATGGCGCCGACTCCAGAGGAGTTTTCAGACCCGGGTTCTGTCACCTACGACTCGGACACTATGTCCGTAGGCGATGGAACCTGGGACTTCACCAAGAATACCTACTTGCTGCCCAATCTGGCAGCACCCAACTTCGAGACCATGCGATACAATGGTGAGAGCCAATTTGCCCTGGATTCCGTGTGTTGTGTACTTGGGGATTGCCACTAACCAGCGTTGTCGATTTATTCTAGGCATGGGGAATCGATTCGCAACCTTGACACAATACCATACGATAATCATCGCTCACGGCGTTCTCGGCGCGCTCGTGTTTCTGCTCCTCATCCCGTCGGCCCTGATGTTGATGCGCTTTTACGACCGTCGACCTGGAGCGGCTGTCAGATACCACGTCCAACTACACATCCTCTCCGCTCTTCTTCTCACGGTTGTCTTCATCCTTGGAAACATTGCCGTGGGCCCGAAGCGTTCCCTTTCGAACCCGCACCATGTCATTGGCCTGGTTCTGTATGTGCTGTTTTGCGTTCAGTTCCTGGCCGGGATCTTCATCAGGGGTATCAAGAAGCTTCGGTCTCTTCGGGTGACGCTGCATCAATGGATTGGAAGGGGCATGGCCTTGCTGGGGATTGCACAAGTTCCGCTTGGGCTTACCCTGTATGGTTCTCCCCAGTACACCTTCATCCTGTACGCTGTATGGATGGCCTTCCTCTTCGTGTTGTACTTCATCCTGAATTTCAGGTCCGCCAGCAGGCGCGAGTACATCATGTCGGGAGGAGCGCCGTCCGAGGCCGGCAGAACTCGAGTAACCGGAATCACGGACACCGAATATTTCGCTTCCGAGGCACCTCATACCGAAGTGGGCAAAGACCACAGCAGTAAATTGAAGTGGCTCGGCCCTCTTGCTGCTGGCGGCGCGGCCTTCGCTTTCCTGAACAGAAAGAAGAACAAGGATCGCGGACGCAGTCGCAGTCGCAGCAGAAGTAGGAGTCGGAGTAGGAGCAGGAGTCACTCGCCCTCGTATCGAAGCCATGGCCCGCAAACTACGGCATCCCGACCTGGTGCTCCCGCCAGCTATTTCAGTGAGGAGAAGTACTCCGAACTTCCTCCTCCCCGTAAGGAGGGCGGAGGTGGCTTCATGAAGATTTTTGGAGGCGCCGCCGCAGCCCTCGGTGCAGGAAAACTTGTCTCTGGCCTGATGAAGCGCAAGGACAAGCAAAACCGAAGTGACGAGTACTCAGCCGTGTCCACCGAGACTCCTCGCCGCCAACGTCCAGGTCGATTCCAGAGCGAACTCAGCAGCGTGTACACCGAAGATACCCGTCCAGCCCCGACTGAAACCTCCCTGATGTCACCTACGCCTGGACCTGCACCTGGACCTCCGCCACCACCAATGATGGCTGGTGCGCTTAGTGCCGCTGACTCTAGATTGGGCTCACGACGAAATGATAGCCCCCCTCGCGCATCAGGTGGTGCGCGACGTCCTGGCCGTAGGAGCAGTATCGAGGATTCCGAATACTCGTCATATGTAAGCCCCTCGCGCCGTGCGCCGCCGCCCGAGTCAAGCCGCGCTGGTGGTGCTGCCAAGGGTCTCTTTGCTGGCTTAGGGCTGGGTTGGTTCGGCAAAAAACTGGCAGATAAGCGATCCAAGAAGGAGGAGGACAAGCGAATCCAAGAGGAAGATGATATGAGATCCGGCCTGACAGAACCTCGATACACTGGGGATGGTTATGTATCTCCGACCAGAAAATCATCGAGGCGACCACTGCCTAGACGACAGACAGGCATGCCATCCCAAGTAACTGCAACTGAGATGACGGAATCGTCATTCGATGATGACAGCAGGCCGCCCCAAGCTAGTGATGCTAAGCACCCCGTTCCAGTCGTTTCAGGTACAGGTAAGTTGCCGCGGGCCAGGTCGAGCTCGCGGCACGATACCGAGCCCCTCTCGCCGCCAGAGCCTCCATTGATTCCCCGTCCTGAGGTAGAGAGCTCGATCCTCTCGGATCCTCGCCCCAAACGACGAGACTCCTCGCGAAGACGGTCGGTTGGAGACAAGGCTGGTAAAGCTGCTCAGGCGCGAGCTGCAAGCCTCGCGGCTGAGCAGGACCGTGACAGACAACGCTACGGGTCACCCCATAGCCAGTCTGTCAGCTTGAAGCTCAAAGTGCATGATGACAAGGACAGGAACGTGACGCTTCGCCGACTAACAGAGGAGGAGGCCAGAACCGCCCGAGGCACCAGGAGTAGGAGTCGTGCGGATTCCGAGAGTGACATGTCCGGGCTCGACCCACCAGGTTACACCCGCACTCGATACCGACGCGACTCCAGCCAGCGGAGGGCGGAGTCGGAAGTTGAACGCCGTACGGAAGCAGCAGCAACAGAGCCGGAGATCAGCGATCTCGGACCTCTGTCGCCTCCAAACCCTGCCTTTGCCAAGGGTCGCCGGAATGCAGGTAAGGATTCAGCATATTATTCCGGCGGAGCTTCCGGGCAGCCGGGGCCAGCGGGCACTTCGGTCGCGGCAGGACAAACCGTGTCTAGTCTCGGTAGCCAGGAGAGCCACGGGACATGGAGTCAGATGAGCGGTTCCCAGACGAATCCCGGGAGAGCGCCGACAGTAGGATCTGCGGCGGACACGAGACGACAACGGCGACGGATGGAGAGACGGAGAGGCAGCAGCAGCCGGCCGTCGGGAGGTCCGGACATGTTTGAATAACGAGGGACAGAGGAGAGGAGGATCTTTTTTTATTCCTGTCAGATGCTGCATCGTTTTCCCATAACGGCGTCCCGGAGTTGCAAGACTGGCATTCATACCCGATGAAATATGGCTGTTGGAAATGTCAATGTATAGACATACGATGTACGCTTTCTAGTTTGCATGACTGTTGGCGATGAATTTTTTTTTCTGGACATATTGGCGACACTATAGACTGTTGGGCTGTTGGAGGAGGAGGACAGCGAAGGAAGAGGGGACGAAGAAGAAGGGGTTCACGAAGCAATTTAATGACCAATGCTTTTCCGATTTAAATAAAGAGTTATTTCTGTTCATACCAGCTGCCGTACTTTCCACATTCCAACCATACTGAGGGTTGCGCTAGTTGCCAGTTCCATTCCATTCCATTGTCCTTTTGGGCGCAATAGCTTTGACGTACCCTATAGAGAGAAATTTAAGTAGCCAGGAATAATGAGACATTTCACCACTGCCACCAGCTCCGATATTACCAAACAAAGTGAGAGAATAGAAGTGATGTATATCGAGCCCAAGCCCGGAAACATAATCCGTCGCCCAGGCAGGTAAATCCTACCCGGCAGACTCTGCGATGCTTCAGTTGGGGTCCATGCTCCTGCTTGCCGAGGCTTGTGCAGGGGTCCGAGCCGAGCCCCAGATTTCCCCCAAACAGAACAGCTCCAACCCCCCGATGGCAACCATTAGGTTAGCAGTGTGCTGCATAATGTCACTGGCCCATGTGAACCAGTCTGTCTTTGTCACTTCTCCAACTTATTTCTGCGCTGCTTCCCCAGGTTCCTTCTAATTCGGCGATGTGAAAGGCTGTCCAGCATCGCGGGCAGATACACAAGACAGCCAACCCCTTCGTGACCGGCATTGGCTCCTCGGCTGCTGGTTCGGAGTGTCTACCGATCCGCCCGGATACTTGGTCGCGGGTTCGCACCACCAAAAGGGCCCAAGCTCTTTTCTCACAAGCCGTCCGTCTCCCGCTCGCAAAGACTCTGCAAACCACCAGCACTCGATCGGAAGGGGCGTATAGCAGCCTCATTAATAACTGGCAATGGCCAGCTCAGCACTTAGTCGGAGGCGACGGCGCCGTCGTCGCACCGACAAACCACCAGTCGCAGCTCGGCTGGTCCTCGACGACCAGATCCGAGGAGACGTCGGCCTCCTCTCAGACGACCTGTTCCGCGAGCTGTTCCCCAACCAAGGTAAGGGGCGATTATTCTCGAACTTCGATGCCCTTTTTTCACCTCATGGTAGCTGACCTCTGGCCGCGCACAACAGCAGCAGATGCAGACTCGAGCACCGATGTAGCCCATATTGCCCTCGCGCCGTGGACTCCGCAAGCCTCAGCGACTGGCGCTCCCTGGTCCCTGGTCCCCGTGACTCGCTCTACGACCCTGGGCGCGAAATCGACTGTATATTTCTCCCCCTCGTCGTCGTGTCTGCAGCGATTCGCCGTTTCCCTGCAGCGTCTGGCCCCCTCTAAGCTGGCCGGTCATCGGAGCGGCCTCGACGTGCTGGTCCTGGACGCAGCCCCCATCCGTCTCGACACCGTGTACGTCAACATCGAGGGCGACCTGACCCGGCGGCTGGAGGCTGGAGAGGGAACCTTCTACCGGGACCATCCCACGGCCGCGGGGCGGGGCAAGGGCTCGGCCACGGCAGACGAGAAGCTGGCCTCGGCGCTGAGGTATGCGTTGAGCAGCCTGAAGATCGTCCACGCGGAGGACCTGTTCCCCCTGCCGCTGCCTCCGCACCCCGTAACCCATGTGCCTCCGAGCCCGGGGCGAATCATGCTGTGCGAGCCTGTGGCGCAGGGTGTCTTAGCCGACACGACCAAGATCGTTCTCATGCGGGGACGCGGCCAGGGGAAGCGCGCGAGGATCTCGACGCCCTCGATAACCGTCAGCCGCCAGATGAGTGAGGACGATGACGGTGGGAACACGGACCAGTTCTTCTCCGCGGCTGAGGAGCGTGATCGGTCTGATGCGCCTGGCGGGGAGGAGACGGAGACTGGCACCGAGACGGAGACGGACCTGTCAGACACCGACCGGGATGAGGACGACGACAATCTCTCGGACGATTCTATGGACGATATGATATCTCTGCAAGCGCCTACGCTGCCCACCTCTGCTGCTAGTGGTGTTTCTACACTCCAGGCTGGCACGCCGATGACTGTAGGCACGCTCAGGGGACGCAAGACCAATGGCGTGTCGACACCCGGCTCCGTCTTCTCCAGCATGACGGCGACTACGGCACGGCCTGATAGGCCTAGAGGGCGACTGTTCAAGGCACAGGGGCTACTTGGGCCCATGCCGGCAGACTCTTTACACCCCAAGCCTGCGCCAGAGGACGACGACGAGGCTCGCGTCTACGTCCATGTATCCTCACTGTCTAAGATCGGTTGCTTTTCAGGTGATTGGGTTCGCATCGAAGCTGCTGAGGAACCCCCCGTCAACGGCTTTGGAGCGTTCGGGTTAGGGAGCTTTGGCCAGCTGAACTCGGACGCCCCTGGGAACTGGCGGCCAGTTCGCGTCTACGGTCTCCCGGAAAGCTACGCGCAGCGCCCCATGACGAGGATACCGAGCTCGAAAATGGGAGAGAGGAGGCTTTCGTTCTTCGACTCCCAGGTACAGCCGACGCCGAGCCCGACGGCGTACGCGTCCCCCATCCTGCTGGCCAACTTGGATGAGGCCAAGTACCTCCGGATTGCGCCGCTGCGAAAGAAGTCATCTTACCTGGGTAAGGGGACGCTGCCGAGATTTACGAGTGCTTCCCGCCCCCCGTATGCTCGGGAGATTACTATCCACCACGTGCGAACGCCAGTTTCTGCAGAGAGGGCGTACCAGACCGCAGTTTTGGGCGGATTGAAGCATTTCTTTGCCTCCAAGACCAGGCTGGTACGGTCTGGTGACCTCATCGGAGTGCCTGTAGATGCTCAGCTTGGCCGGGCTTTACAGGAAACGATCGGGGGAGGCTCTGAAGTAGATGATGTCGTTGCTCTGACAGGCAAGGCTGGTAGCCAGGAGCCGTCAAGCTTTGACAATGTCGCGTGGTTCAAGGTGGGCAGTATCCAGATCAACAAGGCTGATGAGGATGAAGATGGGACAGCTGAGAGTCTCTGGGGCTCGGTTGCTTGCATTGACAGCTCGTCTGTGGGTATGCACGGATCCGGCTTTCAGACGAGTCGCATTCCCGGCACCAAGGGGAGCCCCTGGCCTTATTATCTCGGTCTGAAGAAGACCCCCAGGCGGGATGTTGATGGACCAGCGATTCCGCTACCTTCAGCACAGGAGGAGCAAAGCCACGTGTCTCCTCTCAGGCACCAGCTACGGCAGCTATTGGCTGCAGCAACAAGCCAGAGGGCGATTCATCTCAAGATGCCTCCTGTCGCTATCCTCCTGACCTCCACCCACAGACACATTGGAAAGGCGACGCTGGCAGCTGCGGCATGCTCGGACATTGGCCTTCACACATTCACCATCGACGCTTACGATATCCTGAGTGAGGGTGGTGGCAGTGGAAGCGATGTGAAGACGGAAGGCTTCCTCCGCACCCGTGCTGAGCGGGCTATGAGCTGCGGCCCGGACTGCTGTGGCTTGCTTATCCAGCACATTGAGGCATTGACCGCAGACCGGATCGAGGCGACTATGAAGGAGGTGCTCAACGATACGAGAGTCCTTATTGCGACAACAAACGAGGTCGACAAGGTTCCCGACGGTGTGCGAGGACTCTTCACACACGAGCTGGAGATGAACGCCCCCGACGAGGGCGAGCGTGAAGCCATACTGCGCAACATTCTGGAGAACAGGGGGCTGAGCCTCGAGCCAAGCATCGATCTGAATGCGATTGCTCTCAAGACTGCTGCTCTCGTGGCTGGTGATCTGGTAGACGTAGTAGACCGGGCCTCGGCTGCCCAGCAATCTCGTCTCGAAGCCTTGGCCACCTCCGCCTCAGAGTTGTCTCCCGACGAGCCTGCCGTGACCGTCCGAGATGTCCAAGTCGCTGGCGGACCTGCGGTGCTCTGCCTTACCAAGGGCGACCTCGACGCAGCAGTCGAAGCGGCCCGCAAGAACTTCTCAGACTCGATCGGCGCGCCCAAGATCCCCAACGTCACATGGGACGATGTCGGTGGTCTCTCTAACGTCAAGGACGCCATCACTGAGACCATCCAGCTCCCTCTCGAGCGCCCCGAGCTCTTCGCCCGCGGCATGAAGAAGCGATCCGGCATCCTGTTCTACGGCCCCCCTGGCACCGGAAAGACCCTGCTCGCCAAGGCCATCGCCACCGAGTACAGCCTCAACTTCTTCAGCGTCAAGGGACCCGAGCTCCTCAACATGTACATTGGTGAGTCCGAAGCCAACGTGCGCCGCGTCTTCCAGCGCGCCCGCGACGCCAGGCCCTGCGTCGTCTTCTTCGACGAGCTGGACTCGGTGGCCCCCAAGCGCGGCAACCAGGGCGACAGCGGCGGCGTCATGGACAGGATCGTGTCCCAGCTGCTGGCCGAGCTCGACGGCATGTCGGGCGGTGATGGCGACTCGGGCGGCGTCTTCGTCATCGGCGCGACTAACCGGCCTGACCTCCTCGACCCTGCGCTGCTGCGACCTGGCAGGTTCGACAAGATGCTCTACCTGGGCGTTTCCGACACCCACGAGAAGCAGTTCACCATCTTGCAGGCGCTCACACGCAAGTACGTCTATCCCCCATCCCCTCAGATACATAATGTTATTATTTTTCCTAACTCGTTAAACAGATTCGCCCTCGACCCAGCGCTATCCCTCAAGTCCGTCGCGGACCGCCTCCCGCTCACATACACGGGCGCCGACTTCTACGCCCTGTGCAGCGACGCCATGCTCAAGGCCGTCACCCGCCAGGCCAACCTCGTGGACGCCAAGATCCGCCAGCTCGGCGGCGACATGTCCACCGCCTACTTCTTCGACCACCACGCCAGCCCGTCCGACCTCGCCGTCGTCGTCACCGAG